GACACAGAATTGTTACTCAGGGCCACAGAACTGTTACTTAGGGACAAAGAAACGCTAGTTAGGGCCACAGAATTCATACTCAGGACAGACAGACAGAATTGTTACGGAGTGCCAGAGAATTGTTACTCAGGGCCACAGAAACTTTACTTAGGGCCACAGAATTTTTACTCAGGGACAGACAGAATTGTTACTGAGTGCCAGAGAATTGTTACTCAGGGACAGACAGAATTGTTACGGAGTGCCAGAATTGTTACTCAGGGACAGACAGAATTGTTACTGAGTGCCAGAGAATTGTTACTTAGGGCCACAGAAACTTTAATTGTTTAGGGCCACAGAATTTTTACTCAGGGACAGACAGAATTGTTACTGAGTGCCACAGAATTGTTACTCAGGGACACAGAATTGTTACAGAGTGCCAGAGAATTGTTACTCAGGGCCACAGAAACTTTACTTAGGGCCACAGAATTTTACTCAGGGACAGACACAATTTTTACTTAGGGCCAGAGAATTTTTACTCAGGGACAGACAGAATTGTTACTTAGGGAGAATTGTTACTCAGGGACACAGAATTGTTACGGAGGCCACAGAATTGTTACAGGGCCACAGAAACTTTACTAGGGCCACAGAATTTTTTACTCAGGGACAGACAGAATTGTTACTGACTGTTACAGTGCCAGAGAATTGTTACTCAGGGACAGACAGAATTGTTACTGAGTGCCCAGAGAATTGTTTACTAGGGCCACAGAAACTTTACTTAGGGCCACAGAATTTTTACTCAGGGACAGACAGAATTGTTACTGAGTGCCAGAGAATTGTTACTCAGGGACAGACAGAATTGTTACTGAGTGCCAGAGAATTGTTACTCAGGGACAGACACAGAATTGTTTACTAGGGGGCCACAGAATTGTTACTTAGGGCCACAGAATTGTTACTCAGGGCACAGACACAGAATTGTTACACAGGACACACAGAGAATTGTTACTCAGGGCCACAGAATTTTACTAGGCCACACAGAATTGTTACTCAGGGCCACAGAATTGTTACTTTACAGGGACACAGAATTGTTAGGGACAGACACAGATTGTTTTTAGGCCACAGAATTGTTACTACTCAGGGCCACAGAATTGTTTACACAGAATTGTTACTCAGGGCACAGAATTGTTACTCAGGGACACAGACAGAATTGTTACTGAGACTCACACAGAATTGTTACTCATTCAGGGACACAGAATTGTTACTCAGGGACAGACAGAATTGTTACTGAGTGCCAGAGAATTGTTACTCAGGGACAGACAGAATTGTTACTGAGTGCCAGAGAATTGTTTAGGGCCACAGAATTGTTCAGGGCCACAGAAACTTTACTTAGGGCCACAGAATTTTTACTCAGGGACAGACACATTGAATTGTTACTGAGTGCCAGAGAATTGTTACTCAGGCCACAGACAGAATTGTTACGGAGTGCCACAGAATTGTTACTACTCAGGGCCACAGAAATTTTACTTAGGGCCACAGAATTTTTACTCAGGGACAGACAGAATTGTTACTGAGTGCCAGAGAATTGTTACTCAGGGGGACAGACAGAATTGTTACTGAGTGCCAGATTAATTGTTACTTAGGGCCACAGAAACGTTATTAGGGCCACAGAATTTGTTACTCAGGGACAGACAGAATTGTTACTGAGTGCCAGAGAATTGTTACTTAGGGCCACAGAAACTTTAGTTAGGGCCACAGAAGAATTTTACAGGGACAGACAGAATTGTTAGAATTGTTACACAGAGGGCCACAGAATTGTTACTTAGGGCCACAGAATTGTTACTCGCACAGACACAGAATTGTTACTGAGGACACAGAATTGTTACTTAGGGCCACAGAATTGTTACTTAGGCACACAGAATTGTTACTCAGGCACAGACACAGAATTGTTTACACAGGGACACAGAATTGTTACTGAGGGCCACAGAATTGTTACTTAGGGCCACAGAATTGTTACTTACTCGCACAGACAGAATTGTTACTCGCACAGACACAGAATTGTTACTCGCAGGGACACACAGAATTGTTACTGAGGGCCACAGAATGTGTTACTTGGGGCCACAGAATTGTTAATCAGGGACAGAATTGTTACTGAGGGCCACAGAACTGTTACTTAGGGCCACAGAATTGTTTACTCGCACAGACACAGAATTGTTACACAGGGACACAGAACTGTTACTGAGGGCCACAGAACCGTTACTTAGGGCCACAGAATTGTTTGTTTACACGCGCACAGACAGAATTGTTACTACTCGCACAGACACAGAATTGTTACTCGCACAGACACAGAATTGTTACTCAGGGGACACAGAACTGTTACTGAGGGCCACAGAACTGTTACTTAGGGCCACAGAATTGTTACTCGCAGGACAGACACAGAATTCTTTACTCGCACAGACACAGAATTGTTACTCAGGGAAACAGAATGTTTACTGAGGCCACAGAAGAATTGTTTACTTAGCCACAGAATTGTTACTTAGGGCCACACTTAGGGCAGACACAGAATTGTTACTCGCACAGACACAGAATTGTTACTGAGGGCCACAGAACTGTTACTTGGGGCCACAGAAACTGTTACTTGGGGCCACAGAAACGTTAATCAGGGACACAGAATTGTTACTGAGGGCCACAGAACTGTTACTTAGGGCCACAGAATTGTTACTCGCACAGACACAGAAGAATTGTTACTCAGGGACACAGAATTGTTACTCAGGGACACATAATCGTTTAATTAAAGAGTATGTCAGACAACATGCAGAGGAGTGGCAGAGGAGGCAATGTTTTAGGAGCGAGCAGACGTGGCAGCAGAGGAAGGGGTCGAGGCAGCACTATTCGCAGCCAGAGGCCAGTGCTCCCGGTGTCATCCAGCGGTCGTGTCTCCACCGACAACCCTGCCGTCATCGATTGGTTGGCTCGGTCGTCTTCCTCTTCCCAGGTCACCTCTGACACCTACAGCCAACGGTCGGTGGGTACGTCAGACACAACCGTTAGTTGGCATGGCCCGGGACCAAGCCCACTGAAATCACGTGTCCTCTACCTGCCCCTGTCCTTTGGTGTTCCCTCACCAAGCGAAGTATCGCATGCTGTGGGCTCAGCCCCACTGTACAGTGAGGAAGAGCTAACAGAGGGCGGTCAGGAACGGGGGGAGACATCCGCCTTTTCAGCAGCTAGGCGAAGAAGTAGTGGCGAGGAGAGTGGCCCGGTAGCCGGTCTAGAGACAGGTCTGTCTCCTGACCCAGACGCAGCCGAGGGGGCTAGTAGTGTGAGGCGGAGACCCTACTTGATGATGAGGAGGTTGATCGCACTTGGCAGCCTCGTCGTCATCAGGCAATTTCTTCCGCATCATCAGGAGAAGAGGGTGGCAGCTTGGCAGTGAGCGAAACAGTCGGTGGGTTGCCCAGGAGACAGCAGCAGGGTCGCAGCAGTGTCAGTGGAAGCAGTGTCAGTGGAGCCAAACGGCCACGGAGTAGAGCACCAGCTCCACTGCAGCCTACCACCACGGCCAGTAGTGGTGCCGGTGTGCACGGAGGAAGCAGCAGCAGTCAGCCAGTGAGGAGTATCGGGGGCAAAGTTTCCTACTCGGCGGTGTGGCAATTTTTCGTCAAGCCGCCCGAGGAAGTAAACGTAGCCGTATGTCGACTATGTGGCCAGAAAGTCAAGCGTGGCCAGGGGGCCCATGTTGGGACTATTTGGGCCATGTTGGGACAATGGGAGACCTCCCATTGCTGCTGTCTCCATCGCCACACTCTGCCATGTGCCACTTTCAGGTCTCCTCACACACTGCTGGTGTGTTGAATTTTTTGACATAGGGTGCTGGCAGATTACGGGCCTCCCATAGCTGCTGCCAGGCCCCTAATCTGCCATAGGCCCCTATATATACCGCCTCCTCATGCTGCTGCCAGGTCCAGAGTCTGTCATGGGTCCCTGTACGGCCTCCCATTGCTGCTGTCTCCATCGCCACACTCTGCCATGTGCCACTTTCAGGTCTCCTCACACACTGCTGGTGTGTAGAATTTTTTGACATAGGGTGCTGGCAGATTACGGGCCTCCATAGCTGCTGCCAGGCCCCTAATCTGCCATAGGCCCCTATATACCGCCTCCTCATGCTGCTGCCAGGTCCAGAGTCTCTCATGGGTCCCTGTACGGCCTCCCATTGCTGCTGTCTCCATCGCCACACTCTGCCATGTGCCACTTTCAGGTCTCCTCACACACTGCTGGTGTGTAGAATTTTTTGACATAGGGTCAGGCTGGCAGATTACGGGCCTCCCATAGCTGCTGCCAGGCCCCTAATCTGCCATAGGCCCCTATATACCGCCTCCTCATGCTGCTGCCAGGTCCAGAGTCTCTCATGGGTCCCTGTACGGCCTCCCATTGCTGCTGTCTCCATCGCCACACTCTGCCATGTGCCACTTTCAGGTCTCCTCACACACTGCTGGTGTGTAGAATTTTTTTTTGACATAGGGTGCTGGCAGATTACGGGCCTCCCATAGCTGCTGCCAGGCCCCTAATCTGCCATGGGCCCCTATATACCGCCTCCTCATGCTGCTGCCAGGTCCAGAGTCTCTCATGGGTCCCTGTACGGCCTCCCATTGCTGCTGTCTCCATCGCCACACTCTGCCATGTGCCACTTTCAGGTCTCCTCACACACTGCTGGTGTGTAGAATTTTTTGACATAGGGTGCTGGCAGATTACGGGCCTCCCATAGCTGCTGCCAGGCCCCTAATCTGCCATAGGCCCCTATATACCGCCTCCTCATGCTGCTGCCAGGTCCAGAGTTCTCATGGGTCCCTGTACGGCCTCCCATTGCTGCTGTCTCCATCGCCACACTCTGCCATGTGCCACTTTCAGGTCTCCTCACACACTGCTGGTGTGTTAGAATTTTTTGACATAGGGTGCTGGCAGATTACGGGCCTCCCATAGCTGCTGCCAGGCCCCTAATCTGCCATAGGCCCCTATATACCGCCTCCTCATGCTGCTGCCAGGTCCAGAGTCTCTCATGGGTCCCTGTACGGCCTCCCATTGCTGCTGTCTCCATCGCCACACTCTGCCATGTGCCACTTTCAGGTCTCTCTCACACACTGCTGGTGTGTTGAATTTTTTGACATAGGGTGCTGGCAGATTACGGGCCTCCCATAGCTGCTGCCAGGCCCCTAATCTGCCATAGGCCCCTATATACCGCCTCCTCATGCTGCTGCCAGGTCCAGAGTCTGTCATGGGTCCCTGTACGGCCTCCCATTGCTGCTGTCTCCATCGCCACACTTGCCATGTGCCACTTTCAGGTCTCCTCACACACTGCTGGTGTGTAAATTTTTTGACATAGGGTGCTGGCAGATTACGGGCCTCCCATATAGCTGCTGCCAGGCCCCCTAAATCTGCCATAGGCCCCTATATACCGCCTCCTCATGCTGCTGCCAGCCAGTCCAGAGTCTCTCATGGGTCCCTGTACTGTACGGCCTCCCATTGCTGCTGTCTCCATCGCCACACTCTGCCATGTGCCACTTTCAGGTCTCCTCACACACTGCTGGTGTGTGTTTGAATTTTTTTGACATAGGGTGCTGGCAGATTACGGGCCTCCCATAGCTGCTGCCAGGCCCCTAATCTGCCATAGGCCCCTATATACCGCCTCCTCATGCTGCTGCCAGGTCCAGAGTCTCTCATGGGTCCCTGTACGGCCTCCCATTGCTGCTGTCTCCATCGCCACACTCTGCCATGTGCCACTGCCATGTTCAGGTCTCCTCACACACTGCTGGTGTGTAGAATTTTTTGACATAGGGTGCTGGCAGATTACGGGCCTCCCATAGCTGCTGCCAGGCCCCTAATCTGCCATAGGCCCCTATATATACCGCCTCCTCATGCTGCTGCCAGGTCCAGAGTCTCTCATGGGTCCCTGTACGGCCTCCCATTGCTGCTGTCTCCATCGCCACACTCTGCCATGTGCCACTTTCAGGTCTCCTCACACACTGCTGGTGTGTTGAATTTTTTGACATAGGGTGCTGGCAGATTACGGGCCTCCCATAGCTGCTGCCAGGCCCCTAATCTGCCATAGGCCCCTATATACCGCCTCCTCATGCTGCTGCCAGGTCCAGAGTCTGTCATGGGTCCCTGTACGGCCTCCCATTGCTGCTGTCTCCATCGCCACACTCTGCCATGTGCCACTTTCAGGTCTCCTCACACACTGCTGTGTGTGAGATTTTTTTGACATAGGGTGCTGGCAGATTACGGGCCTCCCATAGCTGCTGCCAGGCCCCTAATCTGCCATAGGCCCCTATATACCGCCTCCTCATGCTGCTGCCAGGTCCAGAGTCTGTCATGGGTCCCTGTACGGCCTCCCATGCTGCTGCTGTCTCCTGTCTCCATCGCCACACTCTGCCATGTGCCACTTTCAGGTCTCCTCACACACTGCTGGTGTGTTAGAATTTTTTGACATAGGGTGCTGGCAGATTACGGGCCTCCCATAGCTGCTGCCAGGCCCCTAATCTGCCATAGGCCCCTATATACCGCCTCCTCATGCTGCTGCCAGGTCCAGAGTCTCTCATGGGTCCCTGTACGGCCTCCCATTGCTGCTGTCTCCATCGCCACACTCTGCCATGTGCCACTTTCAGGTCTCCTCACACACTGCTGGTGTGTAGAATTTTTTGACATAGGGTGCTGGCAGATTACGGGCCTCCCATAGCTGCTGCCAGGCCCCTAATCTGCCATAGGCCCCTATATACCGCCTCCTCATGCTGCTGCCAGGTCCAGAGTCTGTCATGGGTCCCTGTACGGCCTCCCATTGCTGCTGTGTCTCCATCGCCACACTCTGCCATGTGCCACTTTCAGGTCTCCTCACACTGCTGGTGTGTTGAATTTTTTGACATAGGGTGCTGGCAGATTACGGGCCTCCTATAGCTGCTGCCAGGCCCCTAATCTGCCATAGGCCCCTATATACCGCCTCCTCATGCTGCTGCCAGTCCAGAGTCTGTCATGGGTCCCTGTACGGCCTCCCATTGCTGCTGTCTCCATCGCCACACTCTGCCATGTGCCACTTTCAGGTCTCCTCACACACTGCTGGTGTGTGAATTTTTTGACATAGGGTGCTGGCAGATTACGGGCCTCCCATAGCTGCTGCCAGGCCCCTAATCTGCCATGGGCCCCTATATACCGCCTCCTCATGCTGCTGCCAGGTCCAGAGTGTGTCATGGGTCCCTGTACGGCCTCCCATTGCTGCTGTCTCCATCGCCACACCTGCCATGTGCCACTTTCAGGTCTCCTCACACTGCTGGTGTGTTGAATTTTTTGACATAGGGTGCTGGCAGATTACGGGCCTCCCATTGCTGCTGCCAGGCCCCTAATCTGCCATGGGCCCCCGTACCGACTCCTCATGCTGTGACGTTGCAACAAGGTGGAATTCAACCCTACATATGTTAGACCGCCTTTACGAACAGCAAAAGGCCATCACAGATTTCCTGATGTTAAAAGCGGATAAAGGTAAAGGTACTCCCTGTGTAACTTAGATGTCAGCCATTGGCAGCTCATGCGTGACACCTGCGCTTGCTCAGGCCCTTTGAGGAGGCCACGCTATTCGTGAGTCGGCAGGACTATGGGATGAACGACGTCATTCCTCTGTTGCACGTCCTGGAACAAATGCTGTTAACAATGGCTGGTCAGGGTGCGGTAGACGTGGCGCACAGATCTCAACGCCACATGACCCCTGTGGGGGCAGGACAGGAAGAAGAGGAGGAGGAGGTAGAGGAGGACATTGGTGCTCAGGAATTATTGAGTGAAATGGGTGGTTTTTCCACTCAGCGGACAGGAGTGGAGGAGCAGGAGCATCTGGTAGAGAGGAGGAGGAGGAGGAGAGAGGACCCAGACGCACCGTGGCAGTATGCTGTGGAGATGGAGGCAGGGAGTCCCTCGCATTCCTTGGCACAAATGGCCCATAGCATGCTCGCTTGCTTGCGTAGCGACAGCCGAATAATAACCATCAGACAGAGGGATGACTTTTGGCTGTCCACCTTGTTGGACCCTCGCTACCGTTCAAAAATGGTGGCCTTTTTCACACCTGCTGAGAGGGAGGCCAAAATAACGTACTATAAAAACCACCTATGTAGTCAGCTGGTCTCTGCCTGTCTGCGCCAACGTCCATCCTCAGACACTGTGGGCCCTGTGCGCTCGCGTTCCGCTGCCATGGCAGCAGGGGAGGGGGGGGGGGTGGTAGGAGCAGTGGCAGCTCCACCAGCAGCGGCTGCCTCAGTCTGCAGTCGATGATGAGTAGCTTTCTTCACCAGCGCAGTGAGGAAACTACTAACCAGCCGCAGCAGCAGCAGCAGCAGCAGCATCAGGTGGACCTGGAGCAGGACCTCAAACAACAGGCTTAGGCCTACTTGGACAGCACCCTGCCAACCGAGGTAGACAATCCCCTTGACTACTGGGCAACGAAACTTGACCTTTGGCCCCAACTAGCTGAATTTTGCCCTTGAAAGGCTGTCATGCCCGGCCAGTAGCGTGGCATCGGAGCGCGTGTTTAGTGCGGCAGGAGGTATTGCAACTCCGCGGAGGACACGACTGTCCACCCAAAGTGTGGAGAGACTGACGTTTGTGAAAATGAATCAGGCGTGGATTAGTCTGGATTTCAAACCACCAGTTCCTGACACAACTGACTAAATCCGCCATGAATCATGCCCCCAAACATGTGCCACTTTCAGGTCTCCTCACACTGCTGGTGTGTTCCATTTTTTGTCATAGGGTGCTGGCAGATTACGGGCCTCCCATAGCTGCTGCCAGGCCCCTAATCTGCCATGGGCCCCTATACCGCCTCCTCATGCTGCTGCCAAGTCCAGAGTCTCTCATGGGTCCCTGTACGGCCTCCCATTGCTGCTGTCTCCATCGCCACACTCTGCCATGTGCCACTTTCAGGTCTCCTCACACTGCTGGTGTGTTCCATTTTTTTGTCATAGGGTGCTGGCAGATTACGGGCCTCCCATAGCTGCTGCCAGGCCCCTAATCTGCCATGGGCCCCTATACCGCCTCCTCATGCTGCTGCCAGGTCCAGAGTCTCTCATGGGTCCCTGTACGGCCTCCCATTGCTGCTGTCTCCATCGCCACACTCTGCCATGTGCCACTTTCAGGTCTCCTCACACTGCTGGTGGGTTCCATTTTTTGTCATAGGGTGCTGGCAGATTACGGGCCTCCCATAGCTGCTGCCAGGCCCCTAATCTGCCATGGGCCCCCGTACCGACTCCTCATGCTGCTGCCAGGCCCGTAATCTGTCATGGGCCCCTGTTGTCGCTTGTTGGCATATTCCGCTCGTTCAGATGCTCCTTCTCCTGCTACTCCTCTTCACGGATTCCGTCACAGTCTTTCTTGAATCCGTTTCCAAGAGACAACAGTTTGCGAGCACGCACCCGACGGTGCAGAAGCTGAACGTCCTCCTGTCCAAGTTGCTGCTGCCAGGCTCGTAATCTGTCATGCGCCCCTGTACCGCCTCCTCATGCTGCTCGCCAGGTCCCATTGCTGCTGTCTCTATCGCCACACTCTGCCATGTGCCACTTTCAGGTCTCCTCACACTGCTGGTGGTTTCCATTTTTGTCATAGGGTGCTGTATGGCCTCCCATTGCTGCTGCCTCCACCGCCACACTGTGGCTCCACACTCTGGTTTTGGCCCCGTGACTGCCCAAATGAGTGAAGTGTGCGGTGATTCTAAGATCGACGGCACTCATCTGCATGTCATACTGACTGACAGTATTATTTCTCTTCCCCAGCAGACTCCAAGGGCATTTAAATTAAAGGTACAGTGTTCTGCACTAATATTAAGTCTCTCTGAAGCCTAGAAACACCCTTTTTTAAGTTAAATTCACAGCGAATATATTCGACTCGAATCGAAATTTTTCCACGAATTCGCCGAATCAGTCGAATCGAATTTTTGAATACTTCGCTCATCTCTAGTATTAATTATATGCTGTGCCGATGTCAAAAGATGTGTTTATTTGCTGTAATGCTCACATTACTATGGGTGTGTGTGTTATTATGCAGATTGTGATGACTATAAGATATATCCTCCTTTGTGTTGTGTGATAATAAAAGTGGAGGTTTTGACAGTGCAAGAATACTGAAGTTGGATTCTGTTATTTCTTGGGGTGCTGAGTGGATGCTGTATGATGTGCCAGGGTATCTGTACACTTGGTAACGGGTCTCTCACATGCTTAGAATAATGGTGTAAGTGCTGGTTAATTGTACCTGAGTGGTATATGTGACTTGCTCTTGGTGTTTATGTCCAGCCTTGCATTATGGAATGTATTTAGCCTATTTAAATTGGGTTGCTCAGTTGGGCTTTAACCTCCCTGGCGTATGATTATTTCAGATTTTTGGTGCTGAAAGCGGTACCAGTTTTTTTTGCATGGAAATATGTATTTTTTTTATTGTAGGCTGTAATTTTTAGGAAAAACTCACTGAAATCTGTCCGAAAAAGAGTCTAGTAAACATCCCGGGTATGATAAAATTTGAAACACAAAATCATAAATTATAATTTAATAAATAATCATAAAAATAATATAAAAATAATAAAATATTTAATTCAATAAATATAATCAAACCAAAAACACTGAAATGTGAAATAGAGCGCACAAGTTCGCAAAATCGTTTTTCAGTTTCTGATGACGAATTTCCCCACGAATCATTATCACTCAATTCTGCAAGTGGTTCTGATTTACTATCGCTGTTCTCTAGCTGGTCTAAACCGCTTTTGACCTAAAGGAACACTTTTTGGACGCCATGGACATTTCTCAGTTTTCCAGGCAGAAAGAACAGACAAAATGCAGGCAGGGCACAGGACAAAGCACTAGGGACAATATGTATGTGAAATAGGTTGAAACAGCAATGTTTTACTGTGTAAAATGAAAAAAAAAAAAAATGACATTATTTAAAATTTTTAAATTTCCCGCCGCCCGGCGGCGGCGGCGCCCGTACGTCCCGACGTCACAGGGACAGGACACAGAAGCCGGATGCCGGGCATCGTCCGGAGGAGATGGCCGGGGACGCTGCAGGGGACACATCGCGGGAGCGCAGGGTAAGGTAAGTAAAGAACACATGCCGGGAGCAGCGCCGCATGGAATTCCCGAGTGTAGCTCGGGGTTACCGCTTTTGGTACTGAAATGTTACCCCGAGCTACACTCGGGAATACCGCCAGGGAGGTTAAGCTCAACACCATACTAGTCCTGAAAAGTATATGATCAGCTTTTGCTGTAACTCAAGAGAAATCAGCTATTGTTATTTTTTTTTGGACTTTAACCAGTATTAAACACCAAAACAAAAATGTAATATATTGCAGCTTATCAATCTAATATATTTGTTTTTCTCTTTATTTATATCTGATGATCAGGCCAGTAACACACTTTCCTGTCATAGTGTGTGGCTAAACTCTTAATGAAAAGAGAAATGGAGACACCTTTAGACAGTAGCATTGTCAATCTAGGGGATGGTAGTGTTAGATGATCTAGAAGATTCAGACAGGCCTGACTAACAAACTAAAGCTGTTACAGCAAGTCTTTTTTTTAGATTTAAAGATCTGAAGTATCTGAGCAGAAAAGTATCCTTAGGACAGATACCTACAGATCAATCTGTCATTTGACCCCATAGTTGTTGGACAGTTAGAGACCTTCAGCATACTAGCCATTATGTGTTCCTCACCCCCATTAAGTTTAAACACAACTCTTAGATCCAGTGCTGTGGTTGTTGGATCAGCTTTTGGTCTAAATTTCTGGGAGATAACATTGCTAGCACTTTACAAGAACCCAACTTAAAACATTTCACAGTCAGGATGGCATAGGACATGAAACATTAATATCATTATCCTATAAACATAGACATACAGTCAGGTCCATAAATTTTGGGACATTGACACAATTCTAACATTTTTGTCTCTATACACCACCACAATGGATTTGAAATGAAACAAGCAAGATGTTCTTTAACTGCAGACTGTCAGCTTTAATTTGAGGGTATTTACATCCAAATCAGGTGAACAGTGTAGGAATTACAACAGTTTGCATATGTGCCTCCCACTTGTTAAGGGACCAAAAGTAATGGGACAATTGGCTTCTCAGCTGTTCCATGGCCAGGTGTGTGTTATTCCCTCATTATCCCAATTACAATGAGCAGATAAAAGGTCCAGAGTTCATTTCAAGTGTGCTATTTGCATTTGGAATCTGTTGCTGTCAACTTTCAAGATGAGATCCAAAAGCTGTCACTATCAGTGAAGCAAGCCATCATTAGGCTGAAAAAACAAAACAAACCCATCAGAGAGATAGCAAAAACATTAGGTGTGGCCAAAACAACTGTTTGGAACATTCTTAAAAAGAAGGAGCGCACCGGTGAGCTCAGCAACACCAAAAGACCCGGAAGACCATGGAAAACAACTGAGGTGGATGACCGAAGAATTATTTCCCTGGTGAAGAAAACACCTTCACAACAGTTGGCCAGATCAAGAACACTCTCCAGGAGGTAGGTGTATGTGTGTCAAAGTCAACAATCAAGAGAAGACTTTACCAGAGTGAATACAGAGGGTTCACCACAAGATGTAAACCACTGGTGAGCCTCAAAAACAGGAAGGCCAGATTAGAGTTTGCCAAACGACATCTAAAAAAGTCTTCACAGTTCTGGAACAACATCCTATGGACAGATGAGACCAAGATCAACTTGTACCAGAGTGATGGGAAGGGAAGAGTATGGAGAAGGAAGGAAAGGAACTGCTCATGATCCTAAGCATACCACCTCATCAGTGAAGCTTTGGTGGTGGTAGTGTCATGGCGTGGGCATGTATGGCTGCCAATGGAACTGGTTCCCTTGTATTTATTGATGATGTGACTGCTGACAAAAGCAGCAGGATGAATTCTGAAGTGTTTCGGGCAATATTATCTGCTCATATTCAGCCAAATGCTTCAGAACTCATTGGATGCCGCATCACAGTGCAGATGGACAATGACCCAAAGCAAACTGCAAAAGCAACCAAAGAGTTTTTTTAAGGGAAAGAAGTGGAATGTTATGCAATGGCCAAGTCAATCACCTGACCTGAATCCGATTGAGCATGCATTTCAGTTGCTGAAGACAAAACTGAAGGGAAAATGCCCCAAGAACAAGCAGGAACTGAAGACAGTTGCAGTAGAGGCCTGGGCAGAGCATCACCAGGGATGAAACCCAGTGTCTGGTGATGTCTATGCGTTCCAGACTTCAGGCTGTAATTGACTGCAAAGGATTTGCAACCAAGTATTAAAAAGTGAAAGTTTGATTTATGATTATTATTCTGTCCCATTACTTTTGGTCTCTTAACAAGTGGGAGGCACATATGCAAACTGTTGTAATTCCTACACTGTTCACCTGATTTGAATGTAAATACCCTCAAATTAAAGCTGACAGTCTGCAGTTAAAGCACATCTTGTTCATTTCATTTCAAATCCATTGTGGTGGTGTATAGAGCCAAAAATGTTAGAATTGTGTCGATGTCCCAATATTTATGGACCTGACTGTATTTCAAATGAATTGCAAAGTTTTTACCTTGCGCCTAACATTTTGCCCCTACCAAAATTTTCATAAATTTGAGTTTATTAAAGACTATTTTGGCATGACACAGGTACATAGATGAAGTGTTCATGGTATGAGATGGCACCCAATGAAAACTGATGGAATTTTTAGGTCATATCAAAGAGAGCAAACACCAACAAACTTGACTGAACTAGATGGATAAAACAAGGTATTAAGCTTATAAATAAAATAAGTATCTCAAATGCACAGTTTAAGAAATCTGACTGTGAAAGGCTGGCAAAAGTTGTCTCTATTGCAAAAACAATTCTGTATTTTTGTTGTGCTTATGTGTAAAATGTCAGAGAACACTTTGTTCTAGCATTTCAGACACTTTCTATGTATCTATGATGTTCACCTATTCTTTTGCGTAAA